GGGGGGTTGCTTTTAGGGGCCAGAGGAGATGGACAAACGGTTGGAGTCACTAAGTGAGTCAGGAGTCTCAGTGACAGGCAATGGTGTCCATTCAGTGAGTCGCAGCCCCTCTCTGTCTGTCTTTTAATTAACAGTCTTCCCTCCACTCCTCTGCTCTTGTCTCTTCTTCTGTCTGCCGCTTAACTCTCCGTCTCTCTCCCATCCTCTTCCTCTTCGCCTCTATCTCCCCCCTACCCCTCCTCCATCCCCCTCTCTGAAGGACGGAGGTATTCCCACATTTCTCCGTTGCTATAGCAACACTGCAGCGAGAACAGGAAAGAGAGGACGCAGAGGCAGGCAGAGACGAGGGTGGGGGTGGTGGTGCTGGGAGGGTGGAGACACGGTCAGGAGTTGGGGTAGAGAGGATGAGAAGGAGGGGTGTGGAAGCGGTCTAAGATGAGGGGATGTGTGAACAATGCTAATGCTAATGGTAGCAGCAGCAGCAGCAGCAGTAGAGCAGCCAAGTGATGGTGAATTCCCCTCTCGTCATGCTGGGTGCAGACTCACATGCCACAGTCTCATTTGCATAAATGTCACTGAGAATCTATTTTCTCTGTATGTTTCTTATGATCACTGATGTCGTGCACAAAGTGATACTTGAAGACTGTGTCCGCTTGGCCATTTGTTTTTTTTCTATAGAAGTCGCCTCTAGTTTCAATCATTTCTCAGGGATTGTTAAGAAGAAAAAGGAAACAGACTAGAATCCTACCTGGTGTATCTAGCTGGCAATGTGCTACATGCTTATTTCACTGTGATTCAATCAGCATAAACTGGTGCAGGTCAAACGACCCATTAGACAAAGATGTATCTGTGTAGATCACGCACAGAAGCCATGTGAAGACCACAGCTATTTCGTATCGATGTCATCATCCCCTTCAATCAGAACAGAACACAATCTCATTATCTCTTCATATATATCGTAAGCCAACAGAACAAAGTAGTGTTGCATCAATTTCCCAATATGTAAAGATGTGAAGCAAGCAGCAAAGCTCATGTGGCCTGCAAACAAGCGCCCACATCCTTCCCTTTCCTCTATAAAATTTTGACTGCTTGTGCAAAACTCAGTAGATCAGCCCTGAGTGAAACAAATATATCATATCAAATATGTATCGTGTAACCCACAAACATGTATGACTGCTTAGGCTGTTAGGTACCTGGAGTACTCTGCTGCATGTCAACAACCTGACTGTCTACTCAGTCAGTAACTCTTGTTGTCAATATTCTTAACCCCCTCAGGACAAAAACGTCCATCTTTAGGAAAAACAGAGAATAAGCAAAATGGGTGGGAGGGCATCTAAAATCTGGAGAGGTAAGTTTGTTCTATTCTCCATGAATCATCTTTTTAAATACCAAGAAAAATCCCATGTTTTTGATACAAATAAAAAGACAATCCACCTTTTCTTAGGAACTCTTTTCATGCACAAACACATCCTCTGAATATATATCAAGTTTAGAAAACACTTTGTTAATATCAGATAGAAAAACATTTTGATAGCACACAATGTCACAATTTTGCTTACAT